GTAGTAGTAGTAGTAGTAGTAGTAGTAGTAGTAGTAGTAGTAGTAGTAGTAGTAGTAGTAGTAGTAGTAGTAGTAGTAGTAGTAGTAGTAGTAGTAGTAGTAGTAGTAGTAGTAGTAGTAGTAGTAGTAGTAGTAGTAGTAGTAGTAGTAGTAGTAGTAGTAGTAGTAGTAGTAGTAGTAGTAGTAGTAGTAGTAGTAGTAGTAGTAGTAGTAGTAGTAGTAGTAGTAGTAGTAGTAGTAGTAGTAGTAGTAGTAGTAGTAGTAGTAGTAGTAGTAGTAGTAGTAGTAGTAGTAGTAGTAGTAGTAGTAGTAGTAGTAGTAGTAGTAGTAGTAGTAGTAGTAGTAGTAGTAGTAGTAGTAGTAGTAGTAGTAGTAGTAGTAGTAGTAGTAGTAGTAGTAGTAGTAGTAGTAGTAGTAGTAGTAGTAGTAGTAGTAGTAGTAGTAGTAGTAGTAGTAGTAGTAGTAGTAGTAGTAGTAGTAGTAGTAGTAGTAGTAGTAGTAGTAGTAGTAGTAGTAGTAGTAGTAGTAGTAGTAGTAGTAGTAGTAGTAGTAGTAGTAGTAGTAGTAGTAGTAGTAGTAGTAGTAGTAGTAGTAGTAGTAGTAGTAGTAGTAGTAGTAGTAGTAGTAGTAGTAGTAGTAGTAGTAGTAGTAGTAGTAGTAGTAGTAGTAGTAGTAGTAGTAGTAGTAGTAGTAGTAGTAGTAGTAGTAGTAGTAGTAGTAGTAGTAGTAGTAGTAGTAGTAGTAGTAGTAGTAGTAGTAGTAGTAGTAGTAGTAGTAGTAGTAGTAGTAGTAGTAGTAGTAGTAGTAGTAGTAGTAGTAGTAGTAGTAGTAGTAGTAGTAGTAGTAGTAGTAGTAGTAGTAGTAGTAGTAGTAGTAGTAGTAGTAGTAGTAGTAGTAGTAGTAGTAGTAGTAGTAGTAGTAGTAGTAGTAGTAGTAGTAGTAGTAGTAGTAGTAGTAGTAGTAGTAGTAGTAGTAGTAGTAGTAGTAGTAGTAGTAGTAGTAGTAGTAGTAGTAGTAGTAGTAGTAGTAGTAGTAGTAGTAGTAGTAGTAGTAGTAGTAGTAGTAGTAGTAGTAGTAGTAGTAGTAGTAGTAGTAGTAGTAGTAGTAGTAGTAGTAGTAGTAGTAGTAGTAGTAGTAGTAGTAGTAGTAGTAGTAGTAGTAGTAGTAGTAGTAGTAGTAGTAGTAGTAGTAGTAGTAGTAGTAGTAGTAGTAGTAGTAGTAGTAGTAGTAGTAGTAGTAGTAGTAGTAGTAGTAGTAGTAGTAGTAGTAGTAGTAGTAGTAGTAGTAGTAGTAGTAGTAGTAGTAGTAGTAGTAGTAGTAGTAGTAGTAGTAGTAGTAGTAGTAGTAGTAGTAGTAGTAGTAGTAGTAGTAGTAGTAGTAGTAGTAGTAGTAGTAGTAGTAGTAGTAGTAGTAGTAGTAGTAGTAGTAGTAGTAGTAGTAGTAGTAGTAGTAGTAGTAGTAGTAGTAGTAGTAGTAGTAGTAGTAGTAGTAGTAGTAGTAGTAGTAGTAGTAGTAGTAGTAGTAGTAGTAGTAGTAGTAGTAGTAGTAGTAGTAGTAGTAGTAGTAGTAGTAGTAGTAGTAGTAGTAGTAGTAGTAGTAGTAGTAGTAGTAGTAGTAGTAGTAGTAGTAGTAGTAGTAGTAGTAGTAGTAGTAGTAGTAGTAGTAGTAGTAGTAGTAGTAGTAGTAGTAGTAGTAGTAGTAGTAGTAGTAGTAGTAGTAGTAGTAGTAGTAGTAGTAGTAGTAGTAGTAGTAGTAGTAGTAGTAGTAGTAGTAGTAGTAGTAGTAGTAGTAGTAGTAGTAGTAGTAGTAGTAGTAGTAGTAGTAGTAGTAGTAGTAGTAGTAGTAGTAGTAGTAGTAGTAGTAGTAGTAGTAGTAGTAGTAGTAGTAGTAGTAGTAGTAGTAGTAGTAGTAGTAGTAGTAGTAGTAGTAGTAGTAGTAGTAGTAGTAGTAGTAGTAGTAGTAGTAGTAGTAGTAGTAGTAGTAGTAGTAGTAGTAGTAGTAGTAGTAGTAGTAGTAGTAGTAGTAGTAGTAGTAGTAGTAGTAGTAGTAGTAGTAGTAGTAGTAGTAGTAGTAGTAGTAGTAGTAGTAGTAGTAGTAGTAGTAGTAGTAGTAGTAGTAGTAGTAGTAGTAGTAGTAGTAGTAGTAGTAGTAGTAGTAGTAGTAGTAGTAGTAGTAGTAGTAGTAGTAGTAGTAGTAGTAGTAGTAGTAGTAGTAGTAGTAGTAGTAGTAGTAGTAGTAGTAGTAGTAGTAGTAGTAGTAGTAGTAGTAGTAGTAGTAGTAGTAGTAGTAGTAGTAGTAGTAGTAGTAGTAGTAGTAGTAGTAGTAGTAGTAGTAGTAGTAGTAGTAGTAGTAGTAGTAGTAGTAGTAGTAGTAGTAGTAGTAGTAGTAGTAGTAGTAGTAGTAGTAGTAGTAGTAGTAGTAGTAGTAGTAGTAGTAGTAGTAGTAGTAGTAGTAGTAGTAGTAGTAGTAGTAGTAGTAGTAGTAGTAGTAGTAGTAGTAGTAGTAGTAGTAGTAGTAGTAGTAGTAGTAGTAGTAGTAGTAGTAGTAGTAGTAGTAGTAGTAGTAGTAGTAGTAGTAGTAGTAGTAGTAGTAGTAGTAGTAGTAGTAGTAGTAGTAGTAGTAGTAGTAGTAGTAGTAGTAGTAGTAGTAGTAGTAGTAGTAGTAGTAGTAGTAGTAGTAGTAGTAGTAGTAGTAGTAGTAGTAGTAGTAGTAGTAGTAGTAGTAGTAGTAGTAGTAGTAGTAGTAGTAGTAGTAGTAGTAGTAGTAGTAGTAGTAGTAGTAGTAGTAGTAGTAGTAGTAGTAGTAGTAGTAGTAGTAGTAGTAGTAGTAGTAGTAGTAGTAGTAGTAGTAGTAGTAGTAGTAGTAGTAGTAGTAGTAGTAGTAGTAGTAGTAGTAGTAGTAGTAGTAGTAGTAGTAGTAGTAGTAGTAGTAGTAGTAGTAGTAGTAGTAGTAGTAGTAGTAGTAGTAGTAGTAGTAGTAGTAGTAGTAGTAGTAGTAGTAGTAGTAGTAGTAGTAGTAGTAGTAGTAGTAGTAGTAGTAGTAGTAGTAGTAGTAGTAGTAGTAGTAGTAGTAGTAGTAGTAGTAGTAGTAGTAGTAGTAGTAGTAGTAGTAGTAGTAGTAGTAGTAGTAGTAGTAGTAGTAGTAGTAGTAGTAGTAGTAGTAGTAGTAGTAGTAGTAGTAGTAGTAGTAGTAGTAGTAGTAGTAGTAGTAGTAGTAGTAGTAGTAGTAGTAGTAGTAGTAGTAGTAGTAGTAGTAGTAGTAGTAGTAGTAGTAGTAGTAGTAGTAGTAGTAGTAGTAGTAGTAGTAGTAGTAGTAGTAGTAGTAGTAGTAGTAGTAGTAGTAGTAGTAGTAGTAGTAGTAGTAGTAGTAGTAGTAGTAGTAGTAGTAGTAGTAGTAGTAGTAGTAGTAGTAGTAGTAGTAGTAGTAGTAGTAGTAGTAGTAGTAGTAGTAGTAGTAGTAGTAGTAGTAGTAGTAGTAGTAGTAGTAGTAGTAGTAGTAGTAGTAGTAGTAGTAGTAGTAGTAGTAGTAGTAGTAGTAGTAGTAGTAGTAGTAGTAGTAGTAGTAGTAGTAGTAGTAGTAGTAGTAGTAGTAGTAGTAGTAGTAGTAGTAGTAGTAGTAGTAGTAGTAGTAGTAGTAGTAGTAGTAGTAGTAGTAGTAGTAGTAGTAGTAGTAGTAGTAGTAGTAGTAGTAGTAGTAGTAGTAGTAGTAGTAGTAGTAGTAGTAGTAGTAGTAGTAGTAGTAGTAGTAGTAGTAGTAGTAGTAGTAGTAGTAGTAGTAGTAGTAGTAGTAGTAGTAGTAGTAGTAGTAGTAGTAGTAGTAGTAGTAGTAGTAGTAGTAGTAGTAGTAGTAGTAGTAGTAGTAGTAGTAGTAGTAGTAGTAGTAGTAGTAGTAGTAGTAGTAGTAGTAGTAGTAGTAGTAGTAGTAGTAGTAGTAGTAGTAGTAGTAGTAGTAGTAGTAGTAGTAGTAGTAGTAGTAGTAGTAGTAGTAGTAGTAGTAGTAGTAGTAGTAGTAGTAGTAGTAGTAGTAGTAGTAGTAGTAGTAGTAGTAGTAGTAGTAGTAGTAGTAGTAGTAGTAGTAGTAGTAGTAGTAGTAGTAGTAGTAGTAGTAGTAGTAGTAGTAGTAGTAGTAGTAGTAGTAGTAGTAGTAGTAGTAGTAGTAGTAGTAGTAGTAGTAGTAGTAGTAGTAGTAGTAGTAGTAGTAGTAGTAGTAGTAGTAGTAGTAGTAGTAGTAGTAGTAGTAGTAGTAGTAGTAGTAGTAGTAGTAGTAGTAGTAGTAGTAGTAGTAGTAGTAGTAGTAGTAGTAGTAGTAGTAGTAGTAGTAGTAGTAGTAGTAGTAGTAGTAGTAGTAGTAGTAGTAGTAGTAGTAGTAGTAGTAGTAGTAGTAGTAGTAGTAGTAGTAGTAGTAGTAGTAGTAGTAGTAGTAGTAGTAGTAGTAGTAGTAGTAGTAGTAGTAGTAGTAGTAGTAGTAGTAGTAGTAGTAGTAGTAGTAGTAGTAGTAGTAGTAGTAGTAGTAGTAGTAGTAGTAGTAGTAGTAGTAGTAGTAGTAGTAGTAGTAGTAGTAGTAGTAGTAGTAGTAGTAGTAGTAGTAGTAGTAGTAGTAGTAGTAGTAGTAGTAGTAGTAGTAGTAGTAGTAGATGGGATTCTGGAGCATGGCCCTGGGTATGGGTACTACCCTAACGCGAACAAGACAACACTAATTGTCAAGGAGCAGCATTCGGCCCTGGCACTCCAGCTTTTCAGGGACACGGGCATTCGTGTTGTGACCGAGGGTGCTCGTTATCTTGGCGGCGCACTCGGTACGACGGTCTTCTGTGAGGAGTATATCACAGATTTGATCGACAAGTGGACGCTGCAGGTTGATCGCCTGGCGGAGGTGGCCACCACTCAGCCACATGCTGCGTACGAGGTGTTTGTAAAGGGCCTCGTGTCCAAGTGGCGGTACCACTTGCGCGTCCTATCTTGCCCTGCGCATCTTCTGGCCCGTCTCGACGCCGCCATTACGGACAAGCTGCTGCCAGCGCTCAGCGGCCATTCGTGTTCGGACGAGTCGGCACTGAGAAAGTTGCTATCGCTACCAGCGCGGTTTGGTGGCATGGCAATCCCTGTGCCCTCGGTGGAGGCCGAGAAAGAGTTTTCTGCATCCAGACAGATTGTGGCTCCTGTGGCGGCCTGCATAAGACCACCAGAACATCCAACAAGCACCAACGAAACTACTCAAACAGACCAGCTGAACGAGGCAATAGCCCTCAGCCGGCAGGAGGCCGGGCGTATTCGCAGAGAGAAAGCTGCCCAAGCCACGGGTCTCGTTAGCGAATTGCGCCCGGATTTGACAGCAACACAGGCGCTGTTGGTGGAGAATGCCGCGGAAAAGGGCGTATCATCTTGGGTAACGGCGGAACCATCGTCCCAAATGCAGATGGTGCTGAACAAATCGGATTTCCGAGATGCGTTCTGCATCCGCTACGGCCTGCAGCCTGACGGACTCCCCCTGACTTGTGTATGTGGTGCTGCAAACACAATAGACCATGCGATGATGTGTCCGGCAGGGGGCTACCCCATGGCACGCCACAATGAGATCCGGGACTTGTTGGCTGACGTGATGCGTGAGGCGGTCCGGGATGTGGAGGTAGAACCGCCTCTACTACCATATGATGGTGAGCGGCTCCAAGGGAGGACAGCCAACCGCTCGGCAGGTGCCCGCCTGGACATCCGGGCTTGTGGCTTCTGGACGAGACAGCAAGATGCCTTTTTCGACATCCGGGTTACACACCCAAAGGCAAGCTTGCTGTCGCGTCAGGAAGTCATCAGCCAGCTCCGAACGCATGAACGGATGAAGAAGCGCCAGTACGGAGAGCGGGTGACAGCAGTTGACAGAGGTACGTTTACACCGCTAGTTTTTTCTACCTCGGGCATGATTGGCAGAGAATGTTCAATGGCACTGAAGACACTGGCATGCCTGATTGCTGAGAAGAACGTCGACCTACACGTATCGGTTATCATGGGTCAGCTCCGTTGTAAGCTGTCAGTCTGCCTTATGCGATGGGCAGTCACCTGTTTACGTGGTTCAAGATCGTCATACCGCCGCAACAGGATGAATTTCACGACGATGTGCAGGTTGCGGGCAGCCTGAGCGTGATAGTACCTGACACACATTTGCCCAACATTGCCCCATGATAATGAATTCTTGAGTTTTTGGACCTTGTATTGCATTGCTGCTCCATCTACATGGCTGTATTTGTGTTTCACATCTCCATTTCAAGTTTCCTAATAAAGATTGTGTCAAGTAGTAGTAGTAGTAGTAGTAGTAGTAGTAGTAGTAGTAGTAGTAGTAGTAGTAGTAGTAGTAGTAGTAGTAGTAGTAGTAGTAGTAGTAGTAGTAGTAGTAGTAGTAGTAGTAGTAGTAGTAGTAGTAGTAGTAGTAGTAGTAGTAGTAGTAGTAGTAGTAGTAGTAGTAGTAGTAGTAGTAGTAGTAGTAGTAGTAGTAGTAGTAGTAGTAGTAGTAGTAGTAGTAGTAGTAGTAGTAGTAGTAGTAGTAGTAGTAGTAGTAGTAGTAGTAGTAGTAGTAGTAGTAGTAGTAGTAGTAGTAGTAGTAGTAGTAGTAGTAGTAGTAGTAGTAGTAGTAGTAGTAGTAGTAGTAGTAGTAGTAGTAGTAGTAGTAGTAGTAGTAGTAGTAGTAGTAGTAGTAGTAGTAGTAGTAGTAGTAGTAGTAGTAGTAGTAGTAGTAGTAGTAGTAGTAGTAGTAGTAGTAGTAGTAGTAGTAGTAGTAGTAGTAGTAGTAGTAGTAGTAGTAGTAGTAGTAGTAGTAGTAGTAGTAGTAGTAGTAGTAGTAGTAGTAGTAGTAGTAGTAGTAGTAGTAGTAGTAGTAGTAGTAGTAGTAGTAGTAGTAGTAGTAGTAGTAGTAGTAGTAGTAGTAGTAGTAGTAGTAGTAGTAGTAGTAGTAGTAGTAGTAGTAGTAGTAGTAGTAGTAGTAGTAGTAGTAGTAGTAGTAGTAGTAGTAGTAGTAGTAGTAGTAGTAGTAGTAGTAGTAGTAGTAGTAGTAGTAGTAGTAGTAGTAGTAGTAGTAGTAGTAGTAGTAGTAGTAGTAGTAGTAGTAGTAGTAGTAGTAGTAGTAGTAGTAGTAGTAGTAGTAGTAGTAGTAGTAGTAGTAGTAGTAGTAGTAGTAGTAGTAGTAGTAGTAGTAGTAGTAGTAGTAGTAGTAGTAGTAGTAGTAGTAGTAGTAGTAGTAGTAGTAGTAGTAGTAGTAGTAGTAGTAGTAGTAGTAGTAGTAGTAGTAGTAGTAGTAGTAGTAGTAGTAGTAGTAGTAGTAGTAGTAGTAGTAGTAGTAGTAGTAGTAGTAGTAGTAGTAGTAGTAGTAGTAGTAGTAGTAGTAGTAGTAGTAGTAGTAGTAGTAGTAGTAGTAGTAGTAGTAGTAGTAGTAGTAGTAGTAGTAGTAGTAGTAGTAGTAGTAGTAGTAGTAGTAGTAGTAGTAGTAGTAGTAGTAGTAGTAGTAGTAGTAGTAGTAGTAGTAGTAGTAGTAGTAGTAGTAGTAGTAGTAGTAGTAGTAGTAGTAGTAGTAGTAGTAGTAGTAGTAGTAGTAGTAGTAGTAGTAGTAGTAGTAGTAGTAGTAGTAGATGGGATTCTGGAGCATGGCCCTGGGTATGGGTACTACCCTAACGCGAACAAGACAACACTAATTGTCAAGGAGCAGCATTCGGCCCTGGCACTCCAGCTTTTCAGGGACACGGGCATTCGTGTTGTGACCGAGGGTGCTCGTTATCTTGGCGGCGCACTCGGTACGACGGTCTTCTGTGAGGAGTATATCACAGATTTGATCGACAAGTGGACGCTGCAGGTTGATCGCCTGGCGGAGGTGGCCACCACTCAGCCACATGCTGCGTACGAGGTGTTTGTAAAGGGCCTCGTGTCCAAGTGGCGGTACCACTTGCGCGTCCTATCTTGCCCTGCGCATCTTCTGGCCCGTCTCGACGCCGCCATTACGGACAAGCTGCTGCCAGCGCTCAGCGGCCATTCGTGTTCGGACGAGTCGGCACTGAGAAAGTTGCTATCGCTACCAGCGCGGTTTGGTGGCATGGCAATCCCTGTGCCCTCGGTGGAGGCCGAGAAAGAGTTTTCTGCATCCAGACAGATTGTGGCTCCTGTGGCGGCCTGCATAAGACCACCAGAACATCCAACAAGCACCAACGAAACTACTCAAACAGACCAGCTGAACGAGGCAATAGCCCTCAGCCGGCAGGAGGCCGGGCGTATTCGCAGAGAGAAAGCTGCCCAAGCCACGGGTCTCGTTAGCGAATTGCGCCCGGATTTGACAGCAACACAGGCGCTGTTGGTGGAGAATGCCGCGGAAAAGGGCGTATCATCTTGGGTAACGGCGGAACCATCGTCCCAAATGCAGATGGTGCTGAACAAATCGGATTTCCGAGATGCGTTCTGCATCCGCTACGGCCTGCAGCCTGACGGACTCCCCCTGACTTGTGTATGTGGTGCTGCAAACACAATAGACCATGCGATGATGTGTCCGGCAGGGGGCTACCCCATGGCACGCCACAATGAGATCCGGGACTTGTTGGCTGACGTGATGCGTGAGGCGGTCCGGGATGTGGAGGTAGAACCGCCTCTACTACCATATGATGGTGAGCGGCTCCAAGGGAGGACAGCCAACCGCTCGGCAGGTGCCCGCCTGGACATCCGGGCTTGTGGCTTCTGGACGAGACAGCAAGATGCCTTTTTCGACATCCGGGTTACACACCCAAAGGCAAGCTTGCTGTCGCGTCAGGAAGTCATCAGCCAGCTCCGAACGCATGAACGGATGAAGAAGCGCCAGTACGGAGAGCGGGTGACAGCAGTTGACAGAGGTACGTTTACACCGCTAGTTTTTTCTACCTCGGGCATGATTGGCAGAGAATGTTCAATGGCACTGAAGACACTGGCATGCCTGATTGCTGAGAAGAACGTCGACCTACACGTATCGGTTATCATGGGTCAGCTCCGTTGTAAGCTGTCAGTCTGCCTTATGCGATGGGCAGTCACCTGTTTACGTGGTTCAAGATCGTCATACCGCCGCAACAGGATGAATTTCACGACGATGTGCAGGTTGCGGGCAGCCTGAGCGTGATAGTACCTGACACACATTTGCCCAACATTGCCCCATGATAATGAATTCTTGAGTTTTTGGACCTTGTATTGCATTGCTGCTCCATCTACATGGCTGTATTTGTGTTTCACATCTCCATTTCAAGTTTCCTAATAAAGATTGTGTCAAGTAGTAGTAGTAGTAGTAGTAGTAGTAGTAGTAGTAGTAGTAGTAGTAGTAGTAGTAGTAGTAGTAGTAGTAGTAGTAGTAGTAGTAGTAGTAGTAGTAGTAGTAGTAGTAGTAGTAGTAGTAGTAGTAGTAGTAGTAGTAGTAGTAGTAGTAGTAGTAGTAGTAGTAGTAGTAGTAGTAGTAGTAGTAGTAGTAGTAGTAGTAGTAGTAGTAGTAGTAGTAGTAGTAGTAGTAGTAGTAGTAGTAGTAGTAGTAGTAGTAGTAGTAGTAGTAGTAGTAGTAGTAGTAGTAGTAGTAGTAGTAGTAGTAGTAGTAGTAGTAGTAGTAGTAGTAGTAGTAGTAGTAGTAGTAGTAGTAGTAGTAGTAGTAGTAGTAGTAGTAGTAGTAGTAGTAGTAGTAGTAGTAGTAGTAGTAGTAGTAGTAGTAGTAGTAGTAGTAGTAGTAGTAGTAGTAGTAGTAGTAGTAGTAGTAGTAGTAGTAGTAGTAGTAGTAGTAGTAGTAGTAGTAGTAGTAGTAGTAGTAGTAGTAGTAGTAGTAGTAGTAGTAGTAGTAGTAGTAGTAGTAGTAGTAGTAGTAGTAGTAGTAGTAGTAGTAGTAGTAGTAGTAGTAGTAGTAGTAGTAGTAGTAGTAGTAGTAGTAGTAGTAGTAGTAGTAGTAGTAGTAGTAGTAGTAGTAGTAGTAGTAGTAGTAGTAGTAGTAGTAGTAGTAGTAGTAGTAGTAGTAGTAGTAGTAGTAGTAGTAGTAGTAGTAGTAGTAGTAGTAGTAGTAGTAGTAGTAGTAGTAGTAGTAGTAGTAGTAGTAGTAGTAGTAGTAGTAGTAGTAGTAGTAGTAGTAGTAGTAGTAGTAGTAGTAGTAGTAGTAGTAGTAGTAGTAGTAGTAGTAGTAGTAGTAGTAGTAGTAGTAGTAGTAGTAGTAGTAGTAGTAGTAGTAGTAGTAGTAGTAGTAGTAGTAGTAGTAGTAGTAGTAGTAGTAGTAGTAGTAGTAGTAGTAGTAGTAGTAGTAGTAGTAGTAGTAGTAGTAGTAGTAGTAGTAGTAGTAGTAGTAGTAGTAGTAGTAGTAGTAGTAGTAGTAGTAGTAGTAGTAGTAGTAGTAGTAGTAGTAGTAGTAGTAGTAGTAGTAGTAGTAGTAGTAGTAGTAGTAGTAGTAGTAGTAGTAGTAGTAGTAGTAGTAGTAGTAGTAGTAGTAGTAGTAGTAGTAGTAGTAGTAGTAGTAGTAGTAGTAGTAGTAGTAGTAGTAGTAGTAGTAGTAGTAGTAGTAGTAGTAGTAGTAGTAGTAGTAGTAGTAGTAGTAGTAGTAGTAGTAGTAGTAGTAGTAGTAGTAGTAGTAGTAGTAGTAGTAGTAGTAGTAGTAGTAGTAGTAGTAGTAGTAGTAGTAGTAGTAGTAGTAGTAGTAGTAGTAGTAGTAGTAGTAGTAGTAGTAGTAGTAGTAGTAGTAGTAGTAGTAGTAGTAGTAGTAGTAGTAGTAGTAGTAGTAGTAGTAGTAGTAGTAGTAGTAGTAGTAGTAGTAGTAGTAGTAGTAGTAGTAGTAGTAGTAGTAGTAGTAGTAGTAGTAGTAGTAGTAGTAGTAGTAGTAGTAGTAGTAGTAGTAGTAGTAGTAGTAGTAGTAGTAGTAGTAGTAGTAGTAGTAGTAGTAGTAGTAGTAGTAGTAGTAGTAGTAGTAGTAGTAGTAGTAGTAGTAGTAGTAGTAGTAGTAGTAGTAGTAGTAGTAGTAGTAGTAGTAGTAGTAGTAGTAGTAGTAGTAGTAGTAGTAGTAGTAGTAGTAGTAGTAGTAGTAGTAGTAGTAGTAGTAGTAGTAGTAGTAGTAGTAGTAGTAGTAGTAGTAGTAGTAGTAGTAGTAGTAGTAGTAGTAGTAGTAGTAGTAGTAGTAGTAGTAGTAGTAGTAGTAGTAGTAGTAGTAGTAGTAGTAGTAGTAGTAGTAGAT